CCTGTAAATATATTTGTAAAATGATTAATATTATTAGACAAGATTTATGGTGTTTTTATTGAACTTGTAGACAGGGACCACACCTGTTCTTGTTTATGCCTGTATTCCCAGTGCTCAGTATGGTGCCTGACATACAGTATACATTCAGTAAAGTTTTGTTGAATGAGCAAATGCATGATAGATTTAACATCAGTTTTGCTAATGTTTCTTTTAGGGGAATGTATACAATTTCCTATTATCCATCTTTGTGCTTCTGGTGAGTAATTCTGAAGAGAATTATTTTATTTTCCTTATGCCTGTGCAATACTAGATAAAATGTTTTGGTTTGATTCATGCACTCAACTAAGGTCATCACTTGAATTAGCAGAAGTCTGGAATTGTGCATTTGACTTGGAATGAGTGACATTTTCCAAGGCAGGTGATCAGAATAGTTAGAATTTTCCAGAATAGGTTTGTAAACAATAGATAAGATAACAGAGACTATCTTGTAGTCCCTCTGATAAATAATTGGTAACATATTAGTTCAGGGACTTTTCAGCATAATAGACATTATTTTGAATTCAGTTGTTACATTTCTTTTATATAAGCAAAAATTTTAAAGTTTCATTTTTTCATTTGAGAAATTTAACCTGTAAAATTTCATCTATAGGTAAATCGTATTTTCCTGGCAGCATGTGTTGTGGCCTTTTTACTTTCCAGAATAAATATAATTTGACTGTCCAACTTAAAAGCAAGGAAAATTTGGGGACTAACAGGTAAGTGGCTGGGTTCTCTAGCTCCAATCAAGGAACTGCCAGATGATCGAAAAGAAGCTGCTAATACTCATTCTCCTGGCCCTCTTATTTACTTCCTCCTGGCTAGCATTGAGTCTATGTAGGCAAGAACCTTTCCTGAAGTAAGAAGGAGAAGAGGTTGAAGGGAAACTTGGATTGCTTTAGAGTCCATTGTTTCTCAGAGTGTGATCAAGGGACCACCTATCTCAGCCCCAAGGAGTTTGTTAGAAATACCAATTCCTGGATTCCACTTGAGAATCTTTGGAGGTGGCACCTTAGGATGTACATGTTTAAAAATATTGATTTTAACAATATGTAATGCACACCAAAGTTTGAGAACACATATTTTTCCTGATATGTGAGTTTATATAGGGGAGTCAACTGATGAGGATTTTTGTGCTCCCAGCATTGACTCCTCTTTTGCCACACCCTACTGGGCCCCTGGTGGTGTATTTGCCAATCCTCTCTGCCCTCAGGCAGGAGCAGGTGCCCTGGCTCTGGAGTCAGGCCATCTGCCAAACATTTTCTGCCATCCCTGAACTTCCTATTCTTCCCAGCAACCTTGGCACAGGCAAAGGGCAGTCAGGGAGTGGCAGAGGCATGTGCCCAGTTGGGAGAACTTGGAATAGACTCCATGTGCAGCCTCTGAGTCAGCCTCTCTGCAGGGGAAGGAGCAGCAAATTTGGTGAGTCAGCGTTGTCATGGGCAGAGGGTGCAGGCCCTGGAGCAGCTTGGAGGGACCTGGCTTCTGAAGTGTCTCTCTTAGCTTAGAGAGTAGTGGCTTGGAACATTTGCCCTGCTCCCTAACACAAAAGCCTTGTATTCCTGTGGGCACAAGCTATGCCCTGTACCCTTTTTCAGGCTTTTGAGAAAACACTTAGGAGTTATAGCAGTAGAAGCTTTTTATAGAGGTCATTAGTGATGGTCTCAAAGGGCACTTGGAAAAGCTTTGGCATCATATCATCTCCCTCAATTCTCTTCTTCCTTCAGTCAGTCCATCTCTAATTCAAATCCTCTGACCAGGTTGCTGCCCCCAAATCCCCTTTTTATAACTCTGGAGACACTAGCCAGGTTAAAATCTTAAATCTTTCTTAATTGTCGCTACTTTGCCATTAGAAATGAGGTTTTTGGTTTTTTTTCTATAAAAAGCTGAAGTCTTGCACAAGGAGTGAGAAAGAGTTTTAAACATAAGCATCCCAGGGTCTGGGGTTGTGGCTCAGTAGTAGAGTGCTTGCCTAACATGTGTGAGGCACTGGGTTTGATCCTCAGCACCACATAAAATATAAACAAATAAAATTATAAATAATTAAAATTTATAATTTTTATTTATAATAAAAAATATTTTAAAAATAAGCATCCCAGAAAAGATTCAGTACTTCTCTAACCTAAGTGGAAGTACATTTAAATGTAGGTATTTAGGTTCTACATCCAATAGTTCTGATCCAGCAGATCTGAAATGGGGTCCAGGAAAATGTATTTTAAATAAATAACTCTGGTTAGTCAAGATGCAGGGGTCTGTGGGTCAGAGGATTAAATCTTGAGACACATGAATTTAAATATACATCAAGGAAAAAATGTATATCAAGGAGTGAATGACTCACTTCCAGATTCCTTGGAATAGTCTGGGTTTCTGTAGTTGGGAAGAAAGAAGTATTCCAATATTCCAGGCACCCTCAAAAGAGAAAAAGCCTGGATACAAGTCTGTGCAGACATCTATCCACATTTGAAAAGGAGTAGACCCTGTTATTATTAAAAAAAATACACCAAAAGGAAGTGAAATTATGTCATTATCTAATTGCTGCCCTTTATCTACTTGCCCCTCAGACCAGGGCACAGCTCAGCCTTCTGAGTTCATGTCTGACTAGACCCCAGAGCTTTTCCATTGCCAGCCGTCTTGGTTTCCTGAGGTACTTTGTATATGAAGGTGACACTAAAAGGTTAAGATTTGCTTTGAGAAATGGGCCCAGTATCTGATTCCTGTCAGAATATACTCTCTTCGTTCCAAAGATGCATCCAAACTAGAGAAATATCACCTTTATTCATCCAAGTACACTTATCAATTTGGATGGGTTAGACTTTTCTTATTTGTCTTTAGGTCTTTCTTTAAAGGTGATTTTTTTTTAATCCAGTATTGGGGGAGTTGAACCTGAGACCTTGCACAGGCTAGGTAAGTGCTCTACCACTGAGGTACTACAGTTCTTTAATTTTTTTTTTTTAATTTGAACACAGTTTCACTAAGTTGCCAAGGCTGGCCTCAAACTTGTGATCCTCTTATCTCAGTCTCCCAAATTGCCAGGGTTACAGGTGTGCATCACCTGACCAAGCCCATATGTAATTTAAAAAAAAATTTTATTTTTAGTTATAGATGGACACATATATTTTATTTTATTTTATTATGTGGTGCTGAGGATCAAACTCAGTGCCTCATGCATGTGAGGCAAGCACTCAACCACTGATCTACTACCCCAACACCATATGTAATTCTTAACATATTTGATTCTTTAGGTATTAAGATAAAAAATTAAGTTGTCAAATAGCATTTTTAACTTGATCATTCTGAAGCAGTATTCTACTTTAAATGTGGAGGATGGGGGAACTAACTTTTTAAAAGTTCCTTCTAGTCATACATTATGAAATACCTATGCATTTGCCAGGCCATTCATCCCTACACTTAAATCCTTCATTAACTCCTTGCACCTTGTGACTTTCTTGCATCTCACTCTATATTCCTAAAAACATCATTTACACCCCTGCTTCTTTACTTCCATCTTGACTTTCACAACCTTCTGGTCAAAGTGGATCAAGAAGACTCAGGATGTCATATCCACAAATGACAAAGGTGCTATTGTTTTAGATGATTTCAGTAAAGTAACAAGAAATGCAGCACTTATAAAATGACAGACTTTGTTCTGAACACTCTGCAAATATTAAGTTATTTAATTTTCATAATCAGCCTATACGGTACTTAAGGTAGGTGCTATTATAAGTTACTATAAGCCCATTTTATAGATGAGGAAACTGAGGCACAGGTAAGTTATATACTCCATAAGGTCATATAGCTAGCAAGATTCCAACACTGACACTATGATCTTGGTCACTACTTATGTTGCCCATCAAAAAAGACAAAATGAGCTGGGGCTGTGGCTCAATGGTAGAGTGCTTGCCTGGCACACGTTGAGGGCACTCAGCACCACACAAAAAATAAAATAAAGGTATTGTGTCCACCTACAACAAAAAAATACATATTAAAAAATAAAGTATTTTGCCCATTTTAATTGTTTTTTAAAAAAGAAGACAAAACAATACAAGCCAATGCAAATATTATTCTTCATCCAAAAAATCTATTTTCAAGGACATTTCAGAAAAGAAAACTGGAGATTGCAATCTAATTTGAGACCATACTCAATGTATCAATCATCTATGGTTCTTATATTGTCTGTATATGCCAAGAATTATCTAATTTAATCCTCACCCTATTGAAGGCTGATTTAACGGAGGCTTTGCTAAATATTTACACGCCAAAGAGAATCATCCCTCAAACATAATTTGTTCTCAGCATACTGTATCCAGGATCCCAGATAGAATAATTGTATCTACTTTGAAGCATAGGAGAAAACAGATCTACACTGAAACAGCCTTTCACTGCCATTTCTTAGGATCTGCTTAGATGAAAACCCACATTGCTGATTCTTGCCAGAATCTACTTATGCTTCGGGAAAAGTATTAACTAGACTTCCGGCCTGAATTTTAATTCTGGCTCTTCCACTACTCAGCTGTGCAATTCAGGACAGTTGATAATCTCTCCAAATCTGTTTTCTAGAGGTCCAAATGAATAGCTATAAAAGGAAATAAGCTATAAAGTACTGGAAAATTGTATGGTAGCATTACAGGTTTTTTTTTTAATAAATTGATGATTGTTACATTTATTTTAAATTTATTTTAAAGCAGCCTCCTTCCCTCCCCCTCCCAAGTAAAGTTCTCAAGGGCAGGGCCTCATTCATCTTTGCTTCTTAAGATTGCTATGAATGGATAATTATGATTGCAATGAATTCCACTATTGTCATGTATGTAAGAAATAAAAATAAATTAATTTAAAAAATTGCTTCTGGTATAAAATAGATAAACAATGAATGTTTCCTGAGTGAAAGAAAAAGAGATTTTCCCAGAGTTTTGGAGGATCCTATCTCAGTTGAGAAGTGCTGAGGAAGGTTAAGCCATTCACAATACCTGCTTCAACTACGTGGTCCATTGTTGGAAACCTTTTGTATACAGCCGTGCTCACAGCGCGGAAGATGAGCAGGGATGTGAGATTTACATAACGCATCAGTGTCCTTCTGAGAAGGCGTCCATGCTGGTCACTTCCGTGGACACTGCTGGAGATGAGGAACATCAGCCTGTCAGGCCAGGGCAGATTCACAAACTGGTTCCACCATCGGTTCACTACTAAAGTAACATAAAATCCTGTAGAACAAGAGGAAATAATAAAGCAATTTCTTAGCAGCAGACATATTGGTGACACTGATGCTTTTACAGAATTTTAGCCTTTTTAGGGGTTGGGAATACAAAAATATGTAGTTATCTAAACCTTAAGATTTTGACCTCCAGAAAAAGATGTCATTTGTGCCTGGTAATGTCAGGCACCCAGTAAGTGGGTATTAGAACTATAATACTGATCACAAAAATGGAGAGTTAGTGAAGAGAAGGCTTACAATAGCAAATTATTACCTCAAACTTGCTTGGTGTTAATTTAGCGAAAGCAGCCCTGAAGGCAAACTTTATGGATGATTCTGGTTCTAGTGCAAGCATTGGCTTTTCAGGCATGCCTCTCAGCTTGGAAACAATCTCATGCAGAGTCATCCGTGTCATCCTAATGGAGACAGTTGTGTGGCTGCATTCTGCGTGTGACCTATACTTACCAAGCACAAAGGTTACTGGAATTTGTTCAGCATATCTGTCACAGTAAATTGATAATTTTTCAAAGTAACGTTTTTGGGCTCCTGTAAGTAACAATCTGGAGCAAAAATAAAATGCACAGCCCTTTATGATATTATACTTCTGCACCTGCTTTGCAAGTGACATTAAGTGCAAACAATTAAGCACAAATATTCTCATTTTTTTTAAGGAGCAGTAACTTTTTCCTTTTCCTTAAACTGATATGCTCAAAAGCTTTTTAATTGCTTAATGTTTCAAGTACTAAAGTTTTTAGTACATAAACATTACTGTCCATTAAATTGTGGTATTTATTAACCATTTTATTTTTAAAATTTTATATTTTTTAAGTTTTATATAATTGGCTCACTGGATTTGGAGCAAGGTACATTATAAAATAGCCCTTCTTTCAATTATTCATCAGGAATACTTAAAAAAGAGAATATTGATTAAATGGATTAGCTGTTAAATCATTATTAAGTAATAACATTTGATATCTTGACCTTACTTTCTCCTGAATATGCTACTTAGCACATTTTGGATTATATATATTGTAATTCAAGGGATCTGAAATTTGTTTATTTTAAAGCCCACAATTATTTGAAATATAAACAAAACAGATTTAACAATCAGAGGTGAAAACTTTTATTATTACATTTAGTCAATGTCTTAACCTTGCTATTATAGATCTGACCCAACCTGGCCAAACTCATTTTCTGGTATTGTTAACATAATTTCATCTAATGAAACCATTATTAATATTTATGCTGCAGGGAGGGGATTCAGAGTCAGAAGAAATGTCCAAAGGCAGGTTAATAATAATAATCAAAATACAGAAAGAGAAGCCACACACATGGTGAATTTGCATAAATCAGTGAATGCAGCTGTTCCGAAGGACAAAGGACCCCCAGGAAAAATCTATTATAACAACCGTCAAAGTCCCCTTTGGGCAAGTAGAACAGAAAGCAGAGGGGTTTTGAAGTAACAGTGAGAAACCAATCAGATTGCAGATGGAACACTGATAGAAGCTGTTATTGATGAAGAAATGTTTGAGATGGGCTTGGAGTTCCTGTCCTGGCTTTAGAGGAGGTGACAGAATTACTAAAGTCAGGTGAAGCTGACAAGAGAGGCATTTTTACTGGTTGGACAGGCCTATCAGGGTCATACTGATGACAAGTCACAATCAGATGATTTTCCAATATGTAAGTGGAAGTGGTCAAAGAGTATTTAAATATGGAAAGTATGGATCTTAGAGTCAGACAAAACCCAGTTTTAATCCCAGGTCTGCCATTTATAGATATGGACTTTGAACATGTCTTTAAGTTTTTTCAGTTTTCTCATTTGTAAAGGGGGATAATAATACTACATATCAGGGATGTCATAAGAATTAAAAATATTATATAAATAAATAACTTTTTAACATATGGCCTCATACTTAAAATAATTGGTATTATAGCTAACTGGCCAAAGAAAAATATTTATTATAATGGTCATATAGAAAATTTAAATAGCTAGAAAATACTATAGAGATTATTTTGCCAATTTCCTCAGACAATAGGAAGTGGTAAAATCAAATCAATGAATCCTGGTTCTTCCTTATAATTTTTGTCAAGTGTAACTATTTGCTTATAACAGGATTCATAAAAAACTGAAAGTCATTAGTAGACATGAAAATGAAACTATGTTTACATTTTTCTACAGATATGTTTGATTTTCTTAACAAACTCATCCTATAGTTCTTGGTAAACTTTTGATTAAGATAAAACAATCTACTTTAACAATCTTTTACAGTTGAACTTTATAAAATGAAGGGTAATCATTGAACTAATGGTTAATAAATGTAAATGCTCTTTGGCCTTTGGAAAAAATATATGCATACAATTTTGAGGGGAATAGGTATGCTATGGGGGAGAAGCTGAGGCCCAGTGAACATTTCTGGTGACATTGCAACTGTTCTAAGGACTTTTCTATTCTAAGCAGCAGCAGCAGCAATAAACTCACATTAGTAAAAATAAACTAATGAGATAATTATCTTGGAACATCATTGTGTCTTCCACCATTTCATATTCTGAAGGCTTAAATGACATAAATAAATTGTCAAAATAGTATCATGTAAAACATATCTGAAAAAATTATTAGGGGTTTTTAGTAAGACTTTCCCTCTAAAGATATTCTGCCAACATGTACATAAATATGTACACCTGCTTGGAATAGTAGTTTTGATACACAGCAAAATAGCTCTTCACATTTTACTTTTTATAATAGTCAACCAGATAAATTAATATCCTCTTCTCCAAATGGAGTCTTATTGCTATAAGGAAGAATGTAGATAAGAGCAATGATACACAAATTTGTCTATCTGTATGCAGAGGAAAAATAGACTGATGTATATGGAAAAGGTGGAAATACAGCCTCAAAAATCTTTAGCTTTCTCATTTCAGGTTTTAGCTTCCTCCAGAGAAGAAAGGTATACATTCAATTTTTAATTAAAAAAGACTCATAAAGCTTCCCCTTATTCTGATAAAATTTTATTAATGCTATAATTTTTAGTCATAAAAGTATTTAGACATGACATTGTTCATATTTTCTATCAATATGACAGACATAGGTTGTGATGTTACAAAGAATAAATACCTCCTTTTGTGAACATAACATGCCCTGAAATCAGAAGGTATAAAGAAGACAAATTAGGGGAGGGGCTGTAGCTCAGTGGCAGAGCGCTTGCCTAGCATAGTGTGAGGCACTGAGTTCAATCCTTATCACCACATAAAAAAATAAATAAAATAAAGGCATGATGTCCATCTACAACTACATTTTTTTTTTAAAGAAGATAAATTAGTGTCTAGGCCTTAATTCTTTAGTTGGGGCACTGGTAAGATTGAAGGGCACGATCCTGGTTAAGATCTCATCTTTCCAGGCAAAAGGAAGGAAAGTTGCCTGATATGCACAATCACAGACATGTTAATTACATATGGAACTTCAGCAAGCTGTCAAATCACACCGTCAAACTATGAATGACATCATTGAGAAGCATACATAATTATACCTCTGTGGACTTTGCCTATTCAAAATCATCACATAGTAAGGATTTAAGTATAAATCTTCCAGTTTATGTCTATAATAATACTATTGAAGTGCAACTAATACCACATCACATCATGACCAATTAATGTCGGGCTGGAATGGGAGCCTGACAACTACAGTTTGTTTAACATCCTAAAAAATGGTTAGGTATTGGATTAAAATACCCTTTCCTGTGGAGTAGACAACAAAGATGTTCATGCAAAGGAAGAGGTTACATAATGCAAAAGTCAGCAGCAATTAAAGGGTTTGGATTTTTGAGACTGTATTCTTACATAATATTTGATGGCCATAAGGAGACATGCAAGGCAAAGTACCTGTACACCAAACTTATTGCTGTGTAAAGAACAGCAAAAACAATAAATTCCCTGTATAGGAGTTTGTAGATGCTGCCTCTCCACTTGAGAAGTAACCTATGAAATCCAAAAAAGGTCGCATTTGCTACTTTACTGGAGTAAGTGACAGTCATCTTGGATAGCTTTTTTTCTAGAAGAGCAAGAAGACAAAAGACAAGTGAAAAGTTAAGTTTAAGATTAGGCATAAATCTGTGTATCAAAGGAAATTCAAGCCAGTAGCCAGCCAGTCATATCCTTTTTTTTTTCCCCCTCCACCTTTCTTAGTTTGTACAATTTGAAACTTGGGGATAAACAACAGCTCAGAGATAGGTCTTTTAGAGGAGAAGGGGAGGAAAGGAGTCTCTGGGAAGAGTAATGTTAGAAAAATTTTAAATTGCCTTTCTAAATATTATTTTCAGACTATATAGCTATTGCTCAATAAATATGGCATATGAGATATGTTGTAAAATTACCAACATAGTTTCCTAATCCATAGGAGGATTTAGGGTATTGATATGCAAAATTAACTGACATTTTCAAAACTAGTGGCCAAACTTATTGTTTGGGCTTTATCTGGTAAAGTATGTAAAGAGCTACTTATTTCACCTTAAACTTTGTACAGGGACGTTATGGCTCTCCTAGAAATGAGGATATATTTTTGAAAAGAAGCAAGGCCTTCATGGGAACTTAATTGATGGGTCAATTTGGTGGCTTTATTTGCAAGTCAGTATCTCTCTGGTGGTGTTTTCAGTGCATAGCACTCTGCTTACTTCAAAGGTAGCCCAAATTTTGAGCAACCGTACTATTAAGAAGAATGCATTTTTCGGCTGAGGTTGTGGCTCAGTGGTAGAGCGCTCACCTAGCACACGTGAGGCACAGGGCTCGATCCTCAGTACCACATAAAAATAAAGTAAAGGTTATTGTGTCCACCTACAACTAAAAAACAAATTTAAAAAAAAAGAGAATGCATTTTCCCCATGAAAATTCTCACAAAATTCTTAGGGATGGTTGAATTTCTGTTTGGAGCTGAAAAGAAGGAGGCTATTATGGAATTCTTTCTACCTGGATCTGTTGCATGGATGTGGATTGGATGAAAATAGGGCTTCAAAGCCTAGTTTTCATCGAGTTCTTTGGCATTCAAACACTTATCACTGAGCTGGTAAATATTTAGGGTTTGAGATAGATGGTCAAAAGCTAATCTTTGAAAATCCTGCTCAACTACTGGCTAAATGGATCCCCTGCAGATAAAATGAAATTTCTCTGAAATCTTGGCTTTCTTAGGAAAATCTATGAGGAGGGTATTACAGAGCTTCTTAGACTGACATCATAGAGCATTCAGGTAGAAGTATAGTAGACACACACACACACACACAAATTCTGTAACAGTTTATCATATAAAGCAAGCTGCATTGTATATTTCAACATAAACAAGGAAATTTTGTCTTTATCTAGACGTGGGAAAACAACTCTAATTCACCCATTTTCTCTATAAATGACACAGCACTTTAAAAAAATTACAAATATTTCCAACATTACTGATTTTAATAAAGGAACCAGGGTCTTTGGCTAAGTACGCGGCATTACGAAAGGATGGGACTCATGCCACAAAACTGGTTTCATTTTTACATCTTTGCCTTGTCTATTTGTATAAAGTGAACATAGCCAACATTGAAAAAGGAGCATAAAAAACATTAAGCTCATTTCATAATTTGTTCTCATAGCTATGGTAGTTTTAAATAATGTTTCTTTCATTTAGTAGTTCAGCTTTCTATTTAGGCTCTAAGATCACATAGAGTAGAGATCAGAGTTAAAATGCATAGGTTGATCTGTGCACTAACCTATTTATTTGGAGTCTCCAACAGGAAAGAAAATCTTCAAATTTCAGGCTCCGCCTGAAGAGATGCTTCAGGTCGGTGCTGCACTCTTGGTTTTACCCTTCGCTCATGGACAGTAAGATTTTCTTTCTGTTTTCTGGCTACTGAGAGGATCCAGAGTGTAACAAGCAGAAGGGTTAAATGTTTTTCCACTTGTGGAGGCCTGTTTATGCCAATTTGCCCACTGATGACAGTGATAGCTGGAACAAACAGAAGTGACAGCTGCTGATGGTGCTTTTTTTCTATCTATAATTATAACTCCACCTGCCGCCCAAAATACTCCTTTGAATGAGAAGTCTGGGGTGACGTGGAGGATGTTGGGTTGTTTAAGTCTGTCAGATTCACTTCAACTCTATCCTGGGATCAAGGAAGAAAGGTCCATTTCCCCCAAAGTGTTCTGAAGAGATTCTACCAACCAAAAGGGGAATTAGAACAGTCTTTTTGTACTTGAAATGAAGAATACATTCTTATGAAGCCATAAACTGGTGAAGACAAGAATATAAACAGGATTTTCACTAATTTGAGAGGTACTGAGAATGTTCCTCCATTAAAAGCAATAAGTATATGAGAAAGAGAGAGAGAGAGAGAGAGAGAGAGAGAGAGAGAGAGAGAGAGAGAATATGAGAATGTGTCTGTGTCTTGAAAGACCATAGAGAATTATGACATGTGATGGCTTAGTGTAATGGAAACGAGTAACACACTGATTCATTATGCTTATTATCTTTCCATGGTTAGCCAGGAAAATTTTAAATTATTCAAAATGTTTTCTGCTAGATTATACATGCCTATCTTCCTTCTTTTCTTTTCTTTTTTTGGTACCAGAGATTGAACTCAGGGATGTTTAATCACTGAGCCATATCCCTAGCCCCTTTTTGTATTTTATTTAGAGTCAGAGTCTCACTGAGTTGCTTATTGCCTCGCTAAGTTGCTGAGGCTGGCTTTGAACTCTCAATCTTCCTGCCTCAGCCTCCCAAGCTACTGGGATTACAGGCCCAGCTTCTATTTTCCTTCTTAAAAGAGACAGTTCAGCAGCATTCTTTAAATAATAGATTAATTAATTTTAGGGCCAATTCCTGAGACCTTTTCAACTTTCTAAAGTAGTGTGTACCAATCATTGCACATAAGTGAAAAGAAAATGACTTTAAAATAACATCTATTGTCATGGAGAAAGATTTGAAATAAAATGTTTTTTTTTTAAATTTTTATTGTTGGTTGTTTTTTTTTAATTTTATTGTAAAATGTTGGTTTTAAAGTCAAGAATACATATGATTATTTTTCTACTCCTAAGTTTTATGTGCATTTGGCTGGTTTCTTTGTCAAACTGTAAGTACATTAGATCAATGACAGAGTAGTAGGGGTCTGATTTCTTGCCCTATCTCTGTTTATGGTTTCAGTATGAGGCCTATAAATAATGGATATTCAATATGTATTTGCTATTTATCATCACATCCTCACTATATTCCTTCTGTTAGTACATTTGGGGGAATTTTTGAAAGTATATACACAGTGCTGCACATCCTCTATTTGGGTTGCCATGAAAAGTATGGATCTGGATGGATCTGATGTTACATTTACAAAGGCTTTTAAGACTGATCAATATTGGGGACTTTGAGCAAATGTAAGCTTCAGTGATTACAAAATAGCTGGAAGTATTTTGTAAAATTCCAATTCCAATGTTGGAAGTATTCTGTAAGATATTTCCTTCTCCTGCATCCCCTATTGGATGTGTGGTAGCCCCAGAATGCCTCCTCTGTGGGGCGCCATAAGCCACTGTTGTCAATCTTATTTTTAAACGAACATAATTAAGTTCATTTCTACTATCAGGTTGTTTTTCTAGAATGACTAATTAATGGTTGAAAAGAACATTCTGAGTGCAAATTAGTCAATAATAATTAAACTGAATGGACAAACTCCCATTGTTGAGCTTTGACTCTTGTGGCTATTTCTAACAGATATGGAATTATGCCATTTAGAAATTAATTCCTTAGAGGAGGCAAGCCACTATAGATCTTTTCAAAATATCTAACAACACATCAAATTGCAGTTTATCTTATGTAACTTTTGAAAAAAACTTTAAAATTTTTTATTTAAAATAACCTTTTCTTCAAGATTCTAAATGTAACCTCATTATAAAAAGTAAAAAGTAAAGCAACATATAAAAAACAGAATGATACTCTCTCATGCCACTATAGAGGGGTGTTATCATTTTGCCTAAGGTTCATACTTCTAGACTTTTGTGGAAAATATTTTATCTCTATAGTTAACAGCAAATGACATGATAAACCCTGAGGCAATCTCAAAGCTCTGTGGAATAATGATACCAAGATTTTCTCTTGACAGCAAGCACCAGGTTATGTGATTTCTTGGGTTTTTCTGTTTACTGACTGTCATGATGCATATTTTTTTAACAACCACATCACAAGCAGCTAGTTGGGATAAGTCATGTGGCACCCCAGGTGTATGGAGGTTTCTGATACATGTTGTTGGATATAGAATTCTGCCCCATATCAAACCAAACAGGGTAGAACACTTCTGCAATTAATATTCTCTCTTTGATTTCAGGGGAGAAATAGCAAACCCCTAGGACTAGAAGAATTATTGAGTTTTATAGCTTCAGCTCTAAACCCATAAAAGACTGGATATTTGAGGAGTCATCATTGCTTTTCTTGCATAGAGTAACTGCCAACTCAACAAAACAGCAATGCATTAGTTCAAATTCTGAAGGTTATGTTTTTTCTAATGGAAGCTATGGAAACTTTGTTCTATTTTAGTGATAAAAGCTTAGAGCCTAGAGAGTTATTACTAGCTGAAAGTATATCCTGTACTCTATAATCAATGACATTTCTTAAATGGATGGTACTGCTTGGCTCAAATATATTCCAAATTGCTAAAGAAAAAATATTACAACATAGAACAGATTACATATAAATTCAATTTCACAGAAGAAGCTTGTAAACTAAATACATTGTGTAAAATAGCTGTGACATTCTACTTTGCCACCAATGGTAGATGGTGATAGAAATTATATCATTGTGTGGGTAAAGGGAAGACATAGGTACATAAAAATTTTCTGCATAAACATGGATGTCTTTACATGTTTTCTTATGCAGTGAAATGCATATGAAAATGAATAAAACACTTATTGACTCTAGTTCTCTAATATGATAGATTGAACATTCTTCAGACAACTTTTTAGGTTCATAACACATAATAGCTCCTTAACAGTGATACTGATGGACAGAGCAGTGGGTTTGAAGTAAGGGAATGAAAGAGAAACTTCAGTTTTTGCTTCACATAATTTTATATTATTAAAATAATATATCTGCATATTTAATAATATGAATTTTTTTATTTTATTGATTTTTTAAAAATAAATGACAGTGGAATGCATTACAATTCATATTACACATATAGAGCCCAATTTTTCATATCTCTGGTTGTATACAAAGTATATTCACACCAATTTATGTTTTCATACATGAACTTTGGATAATGATGCCCATCACATTCCACATCATAGCTAACCCCTGCCCCCTCCCTTCCCTTTCCACTTCTTTGGCCTATCTACAGTTTGTCTATTCTTCCCAGGCTCCCTCTCCCTATCCCACTATGAATCAGTCTCCTTATATCAGAGAAAACATTTGGCATTTGGCTTTTTGGGATTGGCTAACTTCACTTAGCATTATCTTCTCCAACTCCATCCATTTACCTGCAAATGCCATGATTTTATTCTCTTTTATTGCTGAGTAATATTCCATTGTGTATATATGCCACTTTTTAAAATCCATTTATCTACTGAAGGGCATCTAGATTGGTTCCACAGTTTAGCTATTGTGAATTGTGCTGCTATAAAGATTGATTTGGCTATCTTCCTGTAGTATGCTGTTTTTAAGTCCTTTGGGTATAGATGAGGAGAGGGATAGCTGGGTCTATGGTGGTTCTATTCCCAGTTTTCCAAGGAATCTCCATACTAATTTCCATATTGGCTGCACCAGCAATAAAAATTTTGATTTGACATAACTTCCAAATTTATACCTCCAGCCTGGATCTTACTCTTAACTCCATGAACACCTCAAACCCAGCAGGCCCCAAACTGAACTGATCCTTTTCCTCAAACATGCCTGCAACTATTCCCATCTTAGTTGATGAAAACTTTTTCCTTCCAAAAGACCGAAAACCTCATGGTCATCCTCACCTCCTCTCTTCCTTTCATACCACAACCCAATCTTTCAGCAACTCTGTTGGCTCCACTTTCAAAACACACTGTCTCCTCACCAACCCTTCTCCCTAGCTCCCTTACCCTTCCCTCTTCGGAGCCACCATTATTGTTCTCCTGTGTTACTCTAGTAGCTTCCTGACAGGTCTTCCTTCTTCTCCACCTGTCCTTTTCAATTTGTTCTAACACGAAAGCAGAGGGATCTTATCAAAAGGTAAGCCAGGAAAGCCATGTCATTCCTCTGATAGAAACCCCTCAATGGCTTCCTGTTTTTCTCAGAGTACTAGCCCAAGTTCCTCAATGGCCTGCAAGTCTCATGTGACTTGCTCCCATTTCCTCCCTGGTCTCATTTTCTATTTTTCTTACCTGCGGATTAATCTCTTCTACACTTGTGTCCTTTTCTTTTTTTTTCATAAACACATCAGGCATAGTTGAAGCTTAAAGGCTTGGTGATGGTGGGTCTTCCTGCTTGAAATGTTCTTCCTCTAGATATCTGAGGGTCTCCTTCACTTCTTCCAAGCTTGCTCAACTGTCTTCTCAATAGTTGATCACCCTACTTAAAACTACTTACTGCCCCTGCCCGCCACCCTCCCAACAGCACTCCAGATCCCCTTACCCTGCTTGGCTTTTGCATTTTCTCTACACCATTTATGGGGTTTGAATATACCCCGTGATTAGCACATTTATCGTGTTTACTGTCTGCCTATTCTATTCTACTAGGATAGAAGTTCCATGAGGGTAGAGAGCTGTTGGTTTTGTTTGCTGATGAAAATAAAGTTCTTCAAATAGTGCCTCATTGAGTGAATAAATTTTAAAAGAGTCCAGAGAGGCTCCCACTGTTTCTCATAAATGTGAATTTCATGAGGACACATGCCATGGTTATTATGGTTTATATCCAGTGTCCAGCAAAGTGCTTAGCATCTAGAGACACTCAGAAATATCTAGGGAATAAGTAAGTGAACATATACTTTTATTCAGACATTAAAACTATCTTTTTCATATAAATTGTTTTCATATAATAGTTTTTAAAAGGCAATGTTTTCCATATGAGGTATGGGTTTTTTAGCACTCTGGAAGAACTAAAAGACAGACAGACCCTTGAGTACTGACTTCACATTCTTTCCATACCTGCATTCTGTGATACATTTCTTCTGAGTTTCTGCATCCTTTGCTAATTTAAATAGGGAATTCAGGGTAGGGGTATGAGTGCCCTCTCCTGCCAATCCACCTGAAATGCTGCCTCTCATCTTCTTTCTTTTCTTTTTTTTCTTTCCTTTTCTCCATCTTCTTCTTTTACTGTCCTTAGGAGATTAAGACTAGGAGATTACTGCATTGGAAACAGCAATATAATATCTGAAAATGGATAGAAACAGAAATAAGTTGATTCCTTCCACTTCCTCTTCAATACTCCATTGCATCACTATATTACAGATGTAAGACTGAGCACTCCCATGATGCTTCACAAATGCACCCAACACCCCTTTTAAGATAACATTAAATAATGTCAATGGAAGAATGACACAGTAAACGATGATGGTTTACAAGTAGTGGTGACTTTCTTATGGCTCATAAGGTACCTCAGAGTTCTTGACCTTGAATGCTTTCTAGCAGAGGGGATAAGAGAGTTGGTAAAGATTAAATTATAAAGGTCCTTTAGTGGAATTTTAATGACCAACTTCTAGCAGCAAAGTAATAGTATAGATGTGCAGATGTTCATATTTACTGCTTGATGGTATCTCATAACACATTCTGATATATTTTAATATATCTGTGAGAGAAAAATGGAAGTAAATGAAGAATTATGTATACTTCCTTTTGTTACTTTTTACTACTCTCTATGTACTCTGATAGTTTGGGGATGACTTGTGTTCTCCTTCATCCTGTTTTCGTCACAGATGATTAGATTAACTTAAAACAACAACAACAACAACAGAAATGAGTTGCATGAAGCACACTCAGAGGATTCAGCTTGAAGTACACCTTACACCGTCCTATAAAAACATAAAATCCTGCTTTTAGAAACATAAGATGCTGTTGAGTGATGACAAGGCTACTTTGTCATTTAAAACATTCCCTTGTCTTAAAAAGGTAAAAAAAAAAGAGTAAGTTTTACACAAGTTTCTTTTCCTCATGGTAAAAATCCAGGTGGTTGTTTCTTTCTCTTAGGCTTCTCTTTGAAAACCCTTTTAAGAATTTTTTCCATATTTTTATTTATCATTACATTATTTAAGAGAATCAGAATTCTTCCTTGCTAACTTCATTAATATGCAGCAAAATTACAGATAAACTAATCTTTTAACCCAGTAGTTTCATTTCTAGGAATACAACTCATATACATCTCCAATAACAACAAAGAAAACCAACCCACATATGTGCCAATACATTAATTGCAACAATGCTTGTCATTTCAAAATGTTGGAAACAACACAAATGTCTATACTTAGGAGAGTGGCTAAATCAACTATGGTACATCCACAAAATGCAGCACTATGCAGCTACAAAAAGAAATAAGAAAAACCCTTATGAATTGATAGGGAGTGACTTCTAGGATATATTAATGGTGAAAAAAGTGCAAAAACCTACTCATAGTAAATAAACACATGAAAATATGCTCAACAACATTATTTACTAAGTTAATACAAATCATAGTGACAATAATATGTGACATCACACTCAGAATAGCTATAAAAACAAGCAAAACAGAACATTACAATTGTTGGTAAGGATATGAAGAACTGAAACCCTTTCACACTGCTAGTAAGAATTTAAAATGGTGCAGCCACTGTGGAAAATGGTTTAGTGTTTATTCAGAAAATGAAGTATAAAATTGCCATATAATCCATCAAATCTACTCCTAAGTATATATCCAAACATACTGAAAAATATTCAAACCAACACTTGTACATGAGTGTTCATAGCAGTACTACTCACAATAGCCAAAAGCTGGAAACAATCCAGATGTCCATTAACTGATGGATGGAAACAAATTGTGATATGTCCATATGGTAAAAGTTATTTAACTACAGAAAAGAAATGAGGTATTTATACATGCTATAGTATAGATGAACCTTAAAAACATTATGATAAGTGAAAGAAACCAGATATAAAAAGTCACATATATCACGATTCCATTGATATTAAATATCTAGAATAGGTACATCCATAGAGACAGGAAACAGATTTGTCACTACTGGAGGCTCTGGGTAGGGGGAAATGAGGAGTAACTGCTTGATGGGCCTTAAAGTTCCTCTTGGGATGATGAACATGTTGTGGAACTAGACTGATATTATGCACATTGTGAATATGATAAATGCTATTTTGGAGACATTTAAAGTGCTGGACTCTACACTTTTAAATGATTAAGTTAATGTAAATTGAACGTCAATTTAAAAAAGAGTGACTCTACACTTTTAAATGATTAAGTTAATGTAAATTGAACGTCAATTTAAAAAAGAGTGAGGGCCTATAGTGTGCTACTTTTCAGGAAAGAAAAGGGACACAAAATATACTTATATCTGATTACTTGTACAAAAGAAATTTGGTTATTTGGGAAACAGGTGGAAAGAATGAGCAAGTGGGAATGGGGTAGGGTGTGACATTGACTTAATATACTTTTTGTACAGCTCTGACTCTTAGAATGACAGAAATACTTTACATACTCAGTCCCCTAAAATAGTTAAAAACAATCAGGATGCAGAAGAAGCCTAATTAGAACACAAACAGTAACAAATTGATTTAACTCTATTACAAATGAATATCATAACCATACTTAAGGAGTTGGAGAAGAACCAACTAACTTTGGAAAGCAGTATTTTGACTATATAAACACAAAGCTAAAGACATAAAGAACTGGACCCAAATAGTATACTCTAGTTAGTGAATTTGCTTTCCCCAGAGGTATGGGTTAGCAATTCTGAAACTACTTTATATGCATAATAGTATTGAGCAAATAGGGTTCTTCAGAGAATTGATGATTCTAGAAAAAATAAGATGAGCCTGAACATTTTGTCGTGCCAGAAAGTAGGTGTCTTAGTGATTTTTCTGTTGTTGTTATAGAGATCACAGATTGAGTAATTTATAAAGACAGATTTACTTGGCTCATAATCCTGGAGGGTGGGAAATTCAAGAGGATGGCACTGGCATCGGACAAGGGTCTTCATACTGTGTCAACACCAAGTGAGCGGCCGAGAGAGCCAGCATGAGGAGCCAGGCTTGCTTTTGCAGCAACTAGCATTCATGATAACTAATCTACTCCCACTAGGACAACTCCATTCACAAAGCTCTGCCACCCACTTACTCTTACTAGGCCCCACCTCCTGATGCTCTTACAGAGGGGTTTAAGTTTCCAACTTGTGAATTTGGGGGGACACATTCAAACCATAGTTGTAAGAAAATACTAAAAAATGATGGAGTATGTCCGACTAACACAGAAGTCAAACAGAAGGAGCTCCCAAGGAAATTCGGGGCAATTTGAGCTCAATAATAAGTAACGGTAGTAATGGCTTAGAGCCAGATAATAAAGTAAATATTTTTGAGTCTATGCTGATGTGAACAAATAAATGGAGAGAAGGACCAGCTTTTAGTTAATAAATACAGAAAGACTTATGGATATTTAAAAAAAAATCACCATTTGGAATCATAATAAATATTAAAAAGTAGTGAGAGAAAGTTCTGCTGAGAAATGGGACAGTCACATAGTCTCAAAGTTATCTCCCCACAAGATACATGTAGTTACAAAGAGAAAAGTAGAAACATTACATAGAAGAAACTTGTCCAGTCCCACATAATCAAGCAACCGAAGCTAACTTTTCCAGTTGTAAGTCATATTGATGTTATGGACCCTTAACCTGACACACTAAGCAGGCACATCACTACTGTGATATTGTTGCCCAAAATGCATAGTCTCAATCAAGTCACGAGCAAACACCAGACAAACATGAACTGAGAGGCTACAAAATGACGAATCAATACTTTTTAAAAGGGTCAAGGCAATGAAAGGCAAAGGGAGAGGACTGTCACAGATTGGAGGAGACTAAAGGGACATGACAACTGTATGTTGGATCAGTTAGGACATTCATAGGACAACTGGTAAAATTTGGATAATTAGTAATGCTGTATCAGTGTTGGGGTTATAGCTCTGTGCTAGCATGGGTGAGGTCCTAGATTTGAGCCTCAGCACTGCCAAACAAACAAAAAAGTGGTAGTGTGTCAATGCTAACTTCCTGGCTTTGATGGTGGTACTAAGGTTAGGTGAGATATTAACATTAGAAGAAGCTAGGCGAGGGTATATGGAAACTCTACTATTTTTCCAACATTTTTGTCTAAAAATTTTCAAAATAAAAGTAAAAATGTATCAAGGGGTTCCACTTAAAAATTTTTTGTTTATTTTATTTGCATTGATATTTGACTGGGCCAAGATTCTGAAAATATATTTACTATATATAGTGACATTACTATAGTGACATTACTGTTTCTTTCAAAAGAATTTTAAGGGCTTAAGGAAGGACTTTGAGAATGTGGAACTGCCTGTGGTCCTCCCCCCTTCGTAGAGAAAAGATAAACAGGGCAAATGGCAGGACTGGAAGTGCATGGGAGGATCCAGTATGGATTCACTGGGGCGGAATTATCTGAAAAAATGTTACCACCCCATGTCTGAATGGGAGAGGGGAGTGAGAAGTTACCGAAACCCAGAAAGGGCAGTTGAGTGAAAAGAATGCCAGACAGGCTCTGTGACTTCAGGATAGGACATTACTAATCCATAGTATCCAAGCAAGGGAGCTAGTTAATAAATAGTTCAATTTTATTCCCCTTCTGCCTTCTAAGCTCTTGCTGGGGACTCCGTGATTGACTATCCCTAATCAGAAGCCAGAGATCAAGGGAGCCTGTTATTGTAGTTTAAACATATTCACTTGTATGGGTCTAGTGTAGGGTGGGGAATTTTAGTAGATCTGGATGAGTGAAGGAAAAGTATTCAGCATGGAGATCACCTATTCCACCCCTCTTATTTTGTAAATGAGAAAAATAAGGCTCTAAGAAGTAAAATTATTTAACACAAGGTCAAAATAGAAGTATGGTAGAGTTGAAAACTCATTGGTTTACAAGTTGGAAGATCTAGGCTCTAGTCTTGCCCGGGGCACTACTCTAGGCTTCAGTTTCCATATCTGTGAGGAATGGGGGTGTCTAAAGCAATGTTCTTCAAATTTGTGTACACATATCTCTGGGTAAGCATAGAAGGTATATGAGTATGGATAATTTTAAGAGAATAAGTTTCCAGACCCATAAATTCCTTTTACATGCTCTGTCCTAGAATTAATCTGCTTTACCATTCATAATTGTCCTTCTCCTACTTGACA